TCAATGTTCATTTATTTTATATACCTCAGTAACTGTCAATAAAGAGCTAGATGATGGGGAACTGTATTGTGATTTATTTCTAACTTTGCAGGTTTTTTCATGTTCTTCTTTAAAGCTTATATTTTTTACAGTAAATTTTTCTTTGCATGTATTATTACAACACTTTATAAATAAATTATCAAGTATATTCTGAATTGACGTCGCTTTTAAGATACTACGAAGAGTTATATTAGAGAAACATATTGTGCATTTTGTTTCTGTCTCTAATTTTCCGATTATGTATGGAAAAATGCATGTAGCACAAAACAAATGTTGACAGTTATTAAGTAATACAGGCTTATGCAACAACCTCATGCAAATCTTGCATACACACAAATCTTTGTGTGGATTATCTGCTACATCAATAGAATCATGGCATAAACGAGACAGTCGAGAAAAACTTTCCATTATTTTACAAAATGACTCCCTTGTCCAAATAACTTTGTCATTTATTGATGGTCTTCCACACTGCTTTTTTTTCTTCCTACCAGGATTTTTCCAAAAACATATGCATCTTTCAATGAAACAAGTAAGTGGCCATTGACTTAAACTGAAATTATAGGTTGTTCCTCGCTTTTCGATATTTCTCAAGTTTGTGTAGCATTTCATGCAAATTTTTAGTGGGTGTGTATCCAGCCTGTCTTCTTCAAGTTCAGTAAAAAATGCCTGATCAATACGAATCTTTATATTTTCCGTGTTAACTGGATCATGGCCGATATAATTTCCACATAGTCTGCAGAGTTTCATAAGACATAATATGTGGTTAGTAGCAACAATAGTAGCCATTTTACGATGGGATATCGTACTTATGTCATCCAATTATTTGATTATTTAAAAAAATAAATGGTTGATAAAATTGGTGTTTTCTAAAAGAATTTAAATAATAGTTTAAGAAACCGTTTAGTTCTTGCTTCCAAAAATTGAATTAAAAAAGTTAAAGAGTTTAGAAAAAACATAAAATTTTAAAAATAATACTTTTTATTTTAGCTCTTGAAAGTTTGTTAAAAAGCAATCGAATCAAAAATTTTTTTAATTAACTATAATATTTTATTATTTGACGATCCAATAAAACTTTCCAACACTAAGAAAAACAAAATATAATAGATTAAAAATGTGTTCCTAATTTCAGTGTCTCAAAGTACAAATAAAAATTATAGCAAATATCGAGAGGAAAACAGAAAATCCACGGAGACGCATGCGTACTATAAATGCCTGATAGGTATCAAGATAAAACGACCGTGTATTGGCCATTTTTAGGACTAATCATTTGTTGTATTGGCTTGCCTAACTAGCTTAACAATTTGTACTGTAATCTTACCTGCATGCAGTCCCTGTTGCATTTTTAGGAAAAGTGCTTTCTCTTGCATAAACAAACTTTTCACCTCTTACTCTTGCTTTTTTAAAGACATTCTTTTTCCATAAATATTTGTTTCCTTTTCGTCTTTTACCGATCTTTTTCCCATTATCCTCCATCATATACTTTTATAAAACAATCATAGTTTTATAAACCAAATTGTAGTTTATGGCAAGACAGTTACTGAATAAGCAATAAACTGATGTAACAGATAGCTGAGAGTGTACGCTGCAGTGCCAGATCACGCTGCAGGGCCCGGGGCCCCTAAAATTTTAGAAGACCTTTTTTTTTTTAGTCATTTTTAGGCTCTGACCCATAAAAATAGCCCCGGGCCCCAAAAAGACTTAAAGTGGTACTTTAAGTGGAAAACCCAAGCTCTTTATTTCTTACCATTTAAATTTGATATTTTGTGACAACAATTATATGCAGGTAACTTAGCATTTAAAAAAAATTATTGAAAACTCTTTTTTCAGTCCAAAGGTCTCAAAATGGTCACTTTGCAGTGCGTCAAATTCAGAAAAACCATCTGTAGAATTGTTAAAAATTTTTTGCAGTTTATAGTATAATTTTACAGGTATGGAAGCAGAATTAGCCTGATTGCATAACTAGATCTAAGGTAAATAAAATTCAAATACCTTGCTCATGAAAAGGCTTTGAAATAAAACTTTGGGCTTGTGTAACTCTGGACCGAAAAATATATATTTTTTAAATGTTGGTTCTAAACCTGTATCTTAAAAAAAGTAACCACCATATAAAATTTCAAGTGTAAAGCTCAAATCAATCAAAAGTTATATGATGCACCGTCAACAAATTTCAGTTTTGAGATAAATGCAATTTAAGTAATAGCATACTAAAATATTACTTAATTTCTTCTATAGATTAAAAAAAAAATGGTTTCCCTTATTGATCATCATAAATAAAAAATAATAAAAATCTCTCTAATATAAACCATAACTATACTTTATTTCTCCTTCTAACTCATTAGTATTTATGAAATCTTTATGAACTCCTTGAATATGCTTTCTTTGTTAAAATATCAAGCGATTTCCTTTCTATCGACATTACTCTTCGGTTGCTGTTTGAAACACAGAACTCATTTGCATAAAATCCTGGAACAATATCTAAGCCCTCTAAAAACCTTTAGAATTCCAGTTGAACCGTCATTAAAATTTAAAACTGCACAAGCTACACCAAGTTCAACAGTGGTTTTACAATCGTAGAAATCTTTTTGACACCGTTTCCAAATCATTCTAATAAGTGACTCATTTATTTATTAGTTATTTTGACCATAATTTACCATAAAGATATTTTTTTAATAAATTGTCATCACTTAAACTTATAAAAACAGGCTTTATTTCTTCAAGGACAACAATTGGTATTTCTTCCTTATGTTTGTACGTTGCTGCGCCTTTTATTTTGTCAACCTGATATTTACAGCAACGATCAGGAGTACGTGGGCACATTTGATGTCTTCTTTATTCTTATAATACCTTTTGCTTAAGAGCAATGGAAAAGCACTGTTCCAATTGCTGTTTTCATAACAGAGTTTTTCTTAACTTGTTTAACTTTTTCCAATTTTCATCATAGCAAAAACAGAGCGTACATTATCTTCAAACAGAGGTCTACCATGACTGCTTTTGCATATACATTCTTTACTTGAATAAAAAGTTGTACACTAACAACAATTTGAACATTGTAACAATAATGGTATAGACAAGCCTTGCTTTCTCAAGACGTCAAATGTTTGACTCAGTCTTTTCGTCTCAATCAGCGCTTGTTGCAACTAAATTAATAATTTCCATAAAAAATATCAGTATAAAAAAAGTATAAAAATGGAAAATAAACAGTTGGGTTTGAAGAATTTACACAGAGTAACAAACTGGTGTCATCGGTGAAAAAAGATGATGCAAAGTTTTTTGGTCTGCCTTCATTATTGATTTTAGAAGATAATGATGTACCTGATGGTAAATATTTTAGGTTTATTTTCTTTTCAGAAAAAAAATTAGGTAGGTTAAAAGGAGAAATCTCAGCTGGTTTATCTTGTTTTTTTTTGTGTGTGTTGGTTATTTTTAAATGACCGTTTAGAAAATGCTTTTCAGTGGCCAGAGTTTCTTTGTAACATAGCTCTACTCTTTTTTTATTATTCATTATTATTACAACTATAAAGAATAATTAAAAAAAAAAAAAAAAAGTTAAATTTAAGCTCCATATTTATTCATTGATGTTGTTCATTATTAATGAACTTTATAATTAAATAATTTGAACAAAAAAAGAAAATAATAACAAATAAAAGCCAATTAAGTTAACTATAAAAAAGCTTAACTACAATAAAAAAAGACAAAAAAAAAGGGCTTTCGTCACTGAATGAAGCCCTTCTAGCACATTCTCAATAATTTAGTGGCACATCTTAAACACGATGTCAAAATTTTAGTATTGACATCGTGTATAAGAGTATATGTCATCAGCTCGTAGAAATTATACAATAGAAATTTTTTGTAATGTTAGAAACGGTTTAAAATTAACTGACGTCAGCAGATGAATGGCTTCTTTCTTGCTTAAGTTAGTTTTCACAAACTGACCGTTATCTAAATTAATTCTGCCATATAAAAGTGAACATTGGAACCTCTGCATTTCTAGAGCTTCAGGGAATTTTCGATCAAATTTTTTTGCTTTAACTTTTTAGATTTCTACAGTCCCGAAGACCGGGTAAATTGAGGTCAACGTTTTGGTGTATATAGAAACCATCTCATAGTTTTAACTAGGACAGTTTCTATTAACAAAAAAAAAATGATTTTCTTAAGAAATTAATTACGCCCAAATAATTAATTTTTTTTTAGTAAGTATATTCTTCAATAAATTGTCTACAGTAAAAAAAAATAATTGCATGCTGTATTTTACAAGTAACATAAGTTTCAGACTTTTTTATCTTTGATCTGTTTCCAAGGGATCTTATTTTTGACATTTTTATGTTATGCTTCAATGAAGAATAGTAAATACAGTAAATCTTTGTCTCTACAGCAGTATATCCTCGTCTTTTTTCTTTACAGCTGCTTCTCTAAGACGGCCAGCATTGGAGGTAAGACAATGAGCCAATCTTGATCTTCCCTGCCTTTTTTACACCTAGAAAAAAAGATTCCCATATATACAACTACATAAAGACCACATAAGAAAATCTAGGTACTTGATACATCGAAATATACAATACAGCCAGGGCCGTTTTTTGGGGCGGGGGTAGGTGGTCGCATATGAACATATTTTCTTTACAAAAACATTTTGTTAAACCTCTGTCGGGAAACAGGGATCCATAGTCGGAAAATCTCGGTCATTAAAATTTTTTTGTCTCTAATCTCTTTAAATTACTTTTTTAAGTCGGCAAAAAGTAGATATATCATCCAACCATGCAACACCTTATCCGCACGGCCCTATATATGCAACTCAAACTACTGTTGAGGGAAATGTACTCATGATTCTAAAATGAATGTTACGATCTTATTCTAAGATAAATGTTGCCATCTACTTGAATTGTCAAGGAATCTAATGTTTATTAACTAATGCATTTTAAAACGTATTTATATTCTAAGCTAATATTAAAACTTGCATATAAAAAATAAAGTGTTAAACAATACTGACACTGCTACACTAAATATATACTAATTTTTCTTTTTTCTTGCAAATAATACATATATCTGTGAGAATGGCTGTTATATTACTACATTGTTTCAAAACTTATGTTGGTTGCGTTTTCTTTGAGGAAGATAATGAAGCATTTAAGGATGTCCTTTGTTTCTTAATTACCTTTACGTGTTTTTTAACTTTTTGCTTTTGATCTCTCAATTTTTGTTTTATCCGTAAACATTTTGTCACAACCAATGTGGCAAAACATTAATCTGTTTTTATTTACCTGATCGTCAAGATTAATGCCACAAGATAAAGCAAACTGTATGATAACAAATGCTATTTTAAAAAATTTAAGCAATTTAGTTTGGTAATAGAACTATATATACAAGGTAGCAAGAAGTTAACCCAAACAAAGGGCTATCAAGTTTCTCTTTAATTTGTTTTATATAAAGTTGTGCAATTATATTCGACGTATTTTTTTGAAAACGCATTATCAATAAATATTTGTTATCACAAAAATATATATTTTGGGTATTTTTGAAACGTTTAAAAATTTTGAAAAAACTACCCATTAATTCGTTAAGTAACTAATTAATAAAATCTGAATTAAAAAAAAAGTTTGCTCCTGATTATTATTGAGTATTACGAAAAAGCTTCAATTATAAATTAACTATTGCAAATAGTTTTGGAAAGATTTTTTGAGACTAACAAATAATAGACAAGCAGCCGTGGCGCAGTGGTAGCACACTTGTCTCAGAAACGTAAGATCCGTGTTTCAAACCCCACCCCTGGACAAGTTTTGTGACATCAATTG